AATCTTCTAAAAAAAAAAAAAACATAATGCTTGAAAACCTGATGCGTGTTTCAGATACAAGGAAATCTATCGAACTGAAATTCATTTACCAATCCAATTTTAGTTCATGCATAAGACCCCTCACATTTCCACCAAAGAGGGAAACGATTCATGATCATGTTAACAAAATAAAAGAGAATACTCTCATGGGTAATTTAAAACTAATTAACAGAATAGTTGGAGCTCTTGAAATCTAAGCCTATAGAAAAAAAAAAAAAGGATATATTGTCGCTTCAACAGCTTGAATAATTGGAAATTTTGCCCAAAAAAAATCAAAACAAAGTTTCACATTCAAGATTTAACAGAAGACTGTCTCTCTATTAATGTAGCATACCAAGTAAATAACAAATCACCTGCTTAGTCTTTGAAACTTCAAACAATAGTGGAGAATAAACCTGAAAATTTACAAAAATGGATTGAGGATACAAAAGGTATGGAAAAAAGTGTGAAGAAAAACAAGAAAAATCATTTAACAGGAGAATCATTTTGCGAAAAAGTTGCTATTCTACTTAAGACTGCTTTTTAGGCACATGTCCTAGATAAAAGGTGTATTAATCCTTCAAGAAAAAAATTGGGAAGAGATTGCTGCAATAAAAAACCAGGTAGTTAAATATTCAACCACTAAAGTAATTCCTACACCAAAAGAAATGAAAAACAAAAGTCTCTAGGCTTTGTAAAAAGGAAACTATAAATTTCGCGGACTTTCTAATTAGGCGTTGTAAAAAGAGAACATATAAATTTCGTGAACTTTCTTATTAGGCATTGTAAAAAGAGAACATATAAATTTCGTGGACTTTCTAATTTGCCTTGTTTATTATTTAAGCGCTTAGAAAAGCATCAAACAAGTAGTAAAGAGAATAAGATGATTTCTTCCAGGTTTACTGCAGTATTGAAAGTATCAAGTCAAAGACACCAGAAAAGTACTGGACATGTAAGAGTGCAATCCAGGGAAAAAATCCTGTGGGAGAATGAGATCACTAATAAAGACTCATGGGGTAAAAACAACAAAACCATTCCAAGTTCTATACAATTCCTACTTTCAAAAAAAAAAAGAAGGTTCTATACCATTCCTACTGGATAGGATTCTGACATGCTAGAATGCACCAAATAAACTATATCTCCTCTGCTCTGTACCCTAATAGTTAAAGACCTAATGGCTGTCCTTTTCCTGCTAGCTCTATTATGAAGCATCTCCCAACAGTGGCAGTAGTGATACTGATAAACCAAATTCCTCAAACTCCAGAATATGTCCAAGTTTGGAGAATGTAGAAAATGAAAGCAAAAGGAACTGCTGTCTGAAGTACTTTTACCATCAAAGATTCTCTTTCCAACAAAAGCATTCTTCCCTTCAATTTTCTTCTGACTGATCATCTACAGAACCCTTCTATTCGAATCAACAAGCATTGGATAGACTCATTGCCATTGAAGCTACAACATTTTCAATTACAATCCATCACACACAGAATCTATAAGTTTGTATCGCCTCACTAATTCATATTTCAAACTGCCTCTATCTCAAAAATGTAAGATATCTAGCACTTTCGTTTCACAATCTTTCTTTGTTTCATTGTTTTTTTTTTTTTTTGAATTGTGAATTCAAGACCTACAAACTCCGTATTACTATTAGTAAAGCATGATTATGCTACACATTTAACACCATTTACAACTAAACTAGATGGACTCAACGAACAAAGAGTCATGATATAAGAAAAGCTTTAAAATATGTATATTATACAAGTTACTTTATTTCTTCATTTTTGTTTTCTAGCACCTTGTTCCTTAATCAAACAGATCATCTGTAATATAATGAAATATGTATTCATGTCAATTATTTTCTATACATACTTGTTGTAGGCTTTTACTGAATAAAAGGTCCAAAGGCTGCAATAAGCTATACCAATAGGATCACAAATTAGATAACAGACTGCCTGAAAATCTAACCCCTGGAGGTGGTATACTTCTTTGAAATACTTCTATTTCACAACAAAATGCTGAAAAAAGAATTGCACACTTAGGGGCGTATACTCCTATAACTAAATAATACCAGGAAAGATTAATTTAAGAACCCAAAAATTAATAAAATCCATGAATTTAGGAACTTGTGTGTTTTGAAGTGCTTACACGCTCTCTCAAATGAGAAAAGTGTCTTGCATACATCCCACTTAATAAAGTGGATTAATCAAACTATACACAGGGGAAAGCTACACAACTTAAGAGCCTGGAACAAAACCCATAGCTTAAGCTTTATTCTCAATTTTCCTCCCTAACTTTCTAACTGTATTTTTCTTTTCCTTTCCCCAAAGCCAACACTACTTGGGAAAACAAATGAACAAGTTTCAAGAGAAACAAAAATCGGAGCAAACAAATCTGATTCTCAGAAAAAAGATTGGAAAGGGAAAATCTTACTGACAGCGTTTCAATGTTAACTTCTAGCTAATGTTGAATCTATTTCTATGTTTTCTTAGGTTACGCAAATGTGGATCCATTTTACTTAGCCTTTTTGAAGTCAAGGGTAGTTTGCGCGATTCTAGATATGGTGCATGTTAGCTGTAATGTTAGCCCAAGGGTCCTAGTTGAGTAGGATTCGGTTATGTGGTCTTTCCACACCATTTACATTAGCTCTCAACTCCTCTTGTTAGGAAGTCAATTAAATGTCTACCCTTTTCAAATTTGGGGCCAAGTCTAGCTGTTTCTGTGTAATTAGATGAGGAGAAGTGACCAGAAACAGTATATACCAAGCTTACTTTAGCAATTTTTAACTTGTTTTCAAGGCATGATTGTCTTGTCCTAGGCATGACATTTTAGACCCCAAAAGATGAGTGCCTAGGCTTTTTCATCTCTTATTTGTTCCCTGTTTAACATTAGTTAAACTGCTCATCACAAACTGTCCCGCACCTGAAGAAACCCTCAAGCTCATAGCACTCTTTTTTTATTTGATGTATGTCAAAAATACCATGATAATTAGTTAGTTTCTATTTGAACATGCATATTTGATACTTATTGTACTTATAATGTGTTTAATAGATAGGCAAATAACCTTCACTTTTCCTATCTGCAAACAAAAAATTCTATTACCCTAACAACAAAATACTTGAAAGAAAATCCAACATAGAGAAATGTTAACATAGTTCTAAAACCACTCAAACTCTGACTAATGACTACAAAGTTAAAGTAACATGCAAACCCAGCACAATAAACATTCACAGTAGAACTATTCTCTGGAAGACTCAAACAAGGCAACAACCGGATAAACATATCGAATGAAGAAAACCTGCATTTTACTCTTAAGAAGACTTGCTTCATAAATGACTTAACTAGTCCTAGTTACTCGTACCCACCAAAACATCTGAACTCAAAAGGATCCCAACAACACAAAGCACTTAAGCCTATAAGGCGAAAATCTTACACATTATTTATTAGCAGCAAAATGTTATTAACCCTTCCAGCATTATAGAAACTAAAGCCATCAGAAGCTCAAATATGCCATACCAAATCAAAATCACTACTGCTACTGGTTCTGCTGCTGATTTTGAGGATTTGGTGGAGGTGGCATCCCTGGACGTGGTGGTCCAAAACAGGAACAGCACCAGGAGGCGGGGCATTCCAGGCCGTGGTGGAGGTGGAGCAGGCATTCCAGGTCGTGGAGGCGGTGGAGCTGGAGGTCCTCTCATCATTGGTCCTGGAGGTGGAACCATTGGCCTCTGACCATATTGAGGAGGTGGCACTTGAACTGCTGAGGAGGCCTCACTCCAAAAGCCGGTGCGGGTACCTGAGGAGGTGGGCCACGTGGCATCTGAGGTGGTTGCGGTTGTCCCGGGTAAGCACCAGGTGGCATTTGCCCAGGGGGACGGATCACGGGTGGGCTCCACCAGCAGCAGGGTAAGTCATGGGAGGAGCGGAGAGCTGCGGAATAGGTGGTCGAGAAATCTGTGGCTGCATCATCCGGGAGCAGGACCTCCAACACCACGGACAGGGCCAGCAAGACCAGGCTGGGCCTGAACAAGGGGCCCAGTGGGGGATCCCACGGCCAGCAGCACGGCCAATACCAGGGCCAGGGACAGCATTAGCGGAAGCAGCCTTGGAGCGAGACTCTTCAGGAGGAGGAGGACCCTCGACGGTCATGGAAATAACCTCTTCGCCACGGAGAAGAACAAGGCCAAGGGTTCGACGGTCTTCGCGTTCCTCGTTGGTGTTGGAGTTCTTCTTTCCTTTAGCAGGAGGAAGCTTGCGGAACTCCTCGCAGTCGCCGAGCACGAGATTCATGTGGCGGTCGAAGGCCATGAATTTGCCGACCAGCTGGCGCCCGTCTTGGATGGTGACCCGCATCCGGTAGTTGATGAACTGAAGCATTTTGGAACTCTTGGACATCGACATTGTTGCGATTTTGGAGTGCAGAGACGAATGGGAAAGGAATGGAAATGGAAGAAAAAGAGAAACCCCTAGGGTTTTGATATCTCAAGCGGGAATGATGGAGCCAGTGACTTTCTCTGTTTGTCCCGTGCCCATGGTCGGCCCTCTTATTGACTTCAAAAAATAAATGGGCCAGAAAGGCAGATAGGCCCAATAACTTGTTAGGATGTCTGAAAAGTTTTTTTTTCAATTGATAATTTTATTTTATAAAAAATAAAAATAAAAAAAAACAAAATAAAGAAAAATAACAAGCCAAAAATTTAATTAAATGGAAAAAACTATGTGAGGCTATAATTGAGAGATAAGATTATTAGGATGTAAAGTACATAACTAAATACATTATTTTTCAAAATTATGCATTTTGTTAATTATTTTTAAGATATACTTACGATACAAATAACTCAGTCAATAATTCGATAATTATTCAAAAATTAAAAACAAAATGATCAAAAAAAATTGATGATAGAAAATATAATTATTAATTTATCTTTAATTGGTTCAATAAAAATTCAAGATTTTGCTAAAATGTTTCTTAAGATTTAAAATTGGTAAGATTCTTACAAGCTAAATTAAATTTTATTACACTTAGTATCGAAGTGGCAAAAAATAATAAAAAATCTTTTTATTTTTTACCTCAAAAATATAATTTTCATAATAAAATTTTATTTATATTTTTTGTGATTTTAACTTTTTTTACATGACATCTTGTGTTTTTTTTTTCAATTAATATTCTATAAATAATTTTTATTCTCACAAGAGATTATGTTATTTTTTAATTTAAATTGCAAAAATATCTTTAAATATAAACAAATAAATTAACTTTAAATTAAAAATATTTTGATAATTTTATTGAACAAAATTAACACATGAGCAAAACGTTAAACGGAAAAAAGATATTCACTGAAGGCTAATTGAGAAAAAAAAATCACAGGATGCTATCTGAAAAAATTAAAACTACAAGAGTTGTAAATAGAGTTTTCCCAATAATATATATATACAAACATTTTAAGCTTAGAAACGGCACCGTTTCATAAATAAGTTTCGTGACAAGCCCCGTTGCCGTTTATATAAAGGTGGTATACATTCAAAGGAAATGAAGAAATAGTTAGACGTGAAAACTGAAATTGGGGAAACCATTGTTGAGATCTAAGGTAAAGAAAGAAAGAAATGGCGGCAGCAGCAGCAGCAGTTCCAGATCACTTGTTCAATCTAAGGAACAATTTCTACTTGGGTTCGTATCAGGCCGCCATCAACAACAGCGATCTTCCCAATCTCTCCCCCGACGACGCCGTCGAGCGCGACTGCCTCGTTTACCGCTCTTATATCGCTCTCGGCAGCTACCAAGTACGTTGAACTTCAAACCCTCCTTTTTTTCATATTTAATTTAATTTCTTCTTTTATTTCTAAAAAATTAAAAAATTTACAAATCTCAGTTGGTGATCAATGAGATCGACTCCTCTGCTGCTACTCCTCTCCAAGCCGTAAAATTGCTGGCTCTCTATCTCTCCAACCCTCACGATAAGGTTAATTCCTTTTAGATCTGCCTTCTTTTTATTTGGTTATACAAAAGATCTGCGAGAAAGTATGGGGAAAAGAGGATGTTAGATTGATTGATGGTTATTGCGTTTTAGGAATCGACGATTTCGAGCTTGAAAGAGTGGTTGTCAGATCCAGCAATTGGAAACAATGCCATCTTAAGGTTGATTGCTGGAATCATTTTCATGCATGAAGAAGATTATAATGAGGCTCTTAAACACACCAATGCTGGTGGCACCATGGAACTGTGAGTTGTCCCGTTCAAGTTCAAGTTCAACTTCATTTATGCTTGCATTCCATTCTATTCTATGATGCGTGTGTCATAGAATAATATCAAATTTTGCTTTTTTATTGAAATTGCATGATTGGGCTAGATTTCACTGAATTTCCCTCCTAGGAACCGACTTGCTTGGACTGACTGCATAATGACCTTTGAGATATGCTCTTTACTTTCTTTCTGGGTAATTGGGAGCCTTCTATGGTTTCACAGCACAGATTTAGCTCTCACTCTGTTGTCCCGCTCCAATATATACCTCAGAAAATGAGTTATGGAACAATAATACGATTTATGGGTTATCTAAGAACTACAGTGAACTCATTAGGCTCTTATATGTTGCAGGTGATTTCTACCTGCTTAAATTATATATTTAGATGAAATATAAGAGTACAATTATTCTCTCTCGTCTGTGCTGTTTTTGAGAATAGTTCGTTTAAAATAGCAACATGGAGTATTTACGGTTTCAAGCTTTTGATGCCCTGGAGCTAAAGAAGGAAAAATTTTGTCAATAAGCCAATTATATGAAAAACCTAAAAGTCACGGTAAAACCCCGCAATGGTTGTTCTGAGTCACCTAGCCATTATCAGCCTGTACAAAACATTTTATCAAAGTGCTTATGTTTAGTGCATATTGCTCATGTTTCATCACCACAAGATTTTCTCTAACTGCTTCTGTATTGTCTTTGCAAGTTGTAGTTTGTGCTGTTATCCTGATACCTTGGGGGTCTAATTGGCTGAGATGCTGCATTGGATAGACTTACACTGACCTCTTTTTGATTTTAATCTTAAAAGCCATTTTGATGAAAGATAAATAGTAATTTAATGAGGTTTAAAGCTAGTGATAATACAATATTTGTTGCTTTTAAATGACTGGATATGGCTACCATGTCCACCATTTTCTCTAGAGCAGACATTATTGTCTCTGTTTAGTTTGCTTTTTAATCATCTACGCTGTTTATTCCATCTTCTCTACCAACTGAATGACAATCACATGCTCAAATTTGTGTGGCAAGTGTTAGCCTAATATTGTATAGATGAAGTTTTCTTGCTTAAAAGTTGATGTCAAGTTATTTTATAAAATTTTGGGGGGAAAATACTTATGGATGTAATTTATGAGTTGATGTCCAATTCCTATGGAAAATGCTTATGTTCTTTCTAGTAGAATGCTAAAGCAAAATCTGCAACTTTTATTTTTACTAGTAAATTGGATGCTGTGGTGCATCTCCTGAAGTCATCTTGTTTGCTGTATTTAGGCATGCATTGAATGTTCAAATATTCATCAAGATGCACCGGTCGGATTATGCAGAAAAACAGCTAAGGGTCATGCAGCAAATTGATGAGGACCATACACTGACTCAACTAGCAAATGCATGGTTGAATCTAGCAGTGGTATGGAATATTTTTCATTGTAATTATCCTATTTGTGAGAAACCATATGATGCAGGATGCTGTAATGAGTGTTATTCTACCCATTCAGGGTGGTTCAAAGATACAGGAAGCATATCTGATTTTCCAAGATTTCTCTGAGAAATATCCAATGACTGGACTGATCCTGAATGGGAAGGCTGTCTGCTGTATGCACATGGGAAACTTTGATGAAGCTGAAACGCTGTTGCTTGAAGCACTTAACAAGGCAAGCTTGAACTGTGGATACTTTTTTATTTTGTCAAGATTTAAACTTATTATTTGTCTAGTATTTTGGTGTTGTGTATAGCCCTGTGAACAGTGCTAACCACAGTCGATGTGTTTCACGTTCATAAATTACTGTTTTTTCAATCTAGGTATCCATTAAATTTCATGGTGTAAATATAACCTCTGACTGACACCAAATCATATTGAATTTAACTGTTAGCTTTTCCTAGGGTTTTCTCCCAATCTCTTATGTTCCTGTCAATTTTCAAGTTATTGATTCATCGTGACACTGAATATTTCACACTCCCAAGTTTTATTGCTGCATTGCAATTAGTTGGTTGGTTTCTTTTCAAGATTTTATGTAATAAGGGTTGGTTGTCAATTGATATAGGATGCAAAGGATCCTGAAACTCTGGCCAACCTGGTTGTATGCAGTCTTCACCTTGGTAAATCATCTTCACGTTACCTAAGGTAAAGTATCTGTTTATATCCTTTATCTTCTCTCCTTTGTTTTTATTAATAATTGAACTCTCACTTGTCCACTTGGATAGTTGACAAGTGTTATACATTTTTTTAAGTGCTCTCCATAATATTGTGGTCATAGCTAGTTTAGTCAATCTAAAAAGAGTCCATCACATTCAAGAGTTTGGCAGCTAGATTAATGAGAGCCTATACCTAAAAGGAGTTCCCATTTATTTTATTTACATTAGCATATTTTTTGGCTGTCTATGTTTCTGTCAGATATGTAGAGCACTACAAGCAGAACAAATTTCAGCACCACCTAGCTAAACACCAAAGTTCCTAGTCTTGACTGCCTGTAGGAAACAAATATTAGTCAAGTCTTTAAAAAACGTCCACAATCCTTTTCATTAAATGCCACTGTCCTTATATCCATTGAAGCTTCTGAAGATATATTTGGTTTCATGTACTTACTTTCTTGAAAATCTGAGGTAAGACTCAAAAATATCACAATTGTGTAGCTTTAGACGAATTGGTTTGCTGGTACTGAGCTGAACTTTGCTTATCAATCTACTACTAGAAAACTAGCTTTGTCTCTTGGCCAATGGAAAGGTGCATTTTCCAGGCTCCTAACTATGCATGATGAAGATGAACTGATGGTACTACCTTGAATCACTTTGAAATGGGATTAGCATTGGTTGGGCAAAACATGATTCTATCTTTTGACCTCCTTTTTGGTGGAGAGTTGTGATTAGGATTGAGGCAATACCTTATCCACTGGTAATGGACTTTTAGGGTAGTGCACCATACCTTATGGTTAGAGAACACTCCAATTTGCATTTTGAAGAACATATTCGGTCCACATGCAAATCACCCATGGTGCGGCTTACTCCTGCAAAGCAGTGAATGGTTACACTATAGTATTACCATGGCCAAATGCAGTCAAAAGTGAGGAAGTTTTATTCGTGTCCCTAATATTCAATTGAGTTGAAGCACTTTGATTCTAAACCAAAAAGTGCAAAGTTTATTGTAGCTTGTAGAATATGGAAAATAGTCCCATTCTTGTAACTTAAATGGACTTTAGTGGGATTGTCTATACTCGCCATGCATTCATTGTCAAGTGCATCTTCGTTATTATTTGTCGGGTATTCATGTACCCTTCCCATGCATCTTCGTTTATTTTAGCTGTATCTTATTTTCACTACTCAGCTATTCTAAACTTAATTGAGGTGCCATGTTAATTTTTTTGACAAATGATCCTAATTCTGACCCTATGATTATTTTGCAGCCAACTGAAGCTCACACATCCAGACCATGTTCTTGTTAAACGTGCATCATCTGCAGAAGACAGCTTTGAAAGAGCAGTGCAATCAGTTGCTTGAAGATGTCAAGTTAGTTTTCGATAAAAGGTCATCGGTGCCTGTTCACAATTGTTATTGCTATTCTTTTGAGTTTTGTAACCTACCAGAATATATGATCGATATGAGGTCTGTTGAACGAAAAGGTCCAAACCTTTAACTAGATTGGTAATTTTTTGGGTATTGATGGATAAGGTACATTATATATAGTAAATGTTTCTATTACATTTCACCTGTTTCCTATGGTCTAATGAAAATATGTCTACTCTTCGTTGTAATGGTAGTACTGGCAACTTGTCTTAATCTTCTTCTATAAAGGGTACTTCTAAACATTGGGATTATCTGACTATTGCCAATGCAATGCTCTCGAGATGTATCATCACCAATGTCGGGATCGATTGTGTATTAGAATATGATAAAGTATTTAAATGTTTACACTGCGTATTAGAGTATTGTAAAATATTTAAATGTTCACATCATCATCCTGACAAACTCAAAAGCTAAATAAACTAATTTATTAAATCGTTGCTCAGAACAAAGGATGTTAATGAAGTTCTCTTTCAGTTTTCTTGAAGAAAAACTGAGAACGAACTACCAAGTTATTCCGAGATCGATAGACCATGACATGTTAACTTTTATTTAACAGGGATTTCAGTAGGTAGAAAGCCAGCATTATTGAATATATTGGTAATGAAGCAGGGAAGAAAACAGGAGCAAAAGAATCGATAAAAGCTATACCCGAGCCTGAGCATCATATTATTAAACTATCATTATCTCTTCAAATACAGATATAATGAATTGGCTGCTCCCTATAAACTACCCAAATAATGTAATAGCAAAGGGAAAATTTTCATCTCAAATTTTTCTTCCCCTCTTCTAAGTGACAGGTAGAGGAGCACGGCTCGAAATCGGAGCCGGTCTGGGGATCTGCATTAGCCTTTTGCTATAAAATGCTGTGCAACTATTCGAGAAACCAGTTACCCTAAGAGGATCCATATCCATCACGATGTGCCTTTTGCCATCTCCATGCAGTCTGCAAACTCTCCTGGAGATCAGTATGTTGAGCTGTCCAATTCAGCTCAAGCCTGATCTTAGTTGGATCACTGAAAACTTCGGCATAATCTCCAGGTCGGCGGGGAAGATAGTCGACTTTGATGTCCACCCCAGTGGCTTTCTTGCATGCCTCCACAAACTCCTTCACTGATCTGCCTCTTCCAGTGCCAACATTGTAGATTCCGACTTTACGGGGTTTTGCCTTTTGAAGAGCTTTCACGTGAGCATCAACCAGGTCGGTAACATCAATGTAATCACGTATGCAAGTGCCATCATGTGTTTTGTAGTCTGTTCCCTTGACCTGCAGGAGAGCCCAAAAAACCAGATCAACTAAATAAGAATTTATTAGTAGAACATAAGTCACTGAATGCCACCAAGGTGTAGCTTGAGTTGTTCATGGAAATTTTGGGCAATGTACAAAATCAAATTACCAAAAAGCTTAAAGACTTCATCTTTCCATTGTGCAATGAAATAATAAAGGCACAACCATGGACATGTGGATGACAGGTCTGATAACATTACATAATAGTTACAAGGATAAGGACAACATGCAAACAGCACAAACCAAATTCAATTGAAAAGTATGCTTGTAATAAATAATACACAAAGTTTATTCTATCATACATTTAATGACCTTTTTCAAATGAAAAGGCGATCATTGTTAAACATGTGAAATGACAGATAATTCTTCATTAAGTCCAGGTCTTCCAAATCTTTCATGAGCTCAATGTTTTGCCTAAAGTATCAGGCAGATGAAAAGTTTAGAATGCAAATGTGTTGTCAGCAGAAAAATATATATTATATACTGTAAGGTCAAAGCATCCAGTTCTGCAAAACCGTTGTCCACATTATAACCATTCATCAAAATTTCCCTAGCAGTTTGTACTTATTTTTTTATTCACTCTGAGACCATCATCAATCTGATTGAGCCCATACTAGTAAGACCATCGGTTTAGTAGCCTTCTTTGCACTTCCTGATGGGCAGGAAGAGAATAATATTGCCAAAATTATCCAGCTATACATCAGCGCCCTTCAAAAAAGGGCTGCTGCTGCTACTCTCCATGATTTAAAAAATTAACAGCAGAACTTTCAATAAGATCTGCAGTATAATATCTGTCAAACTGTTATCTAAATTGCAGTATATAACTAGTTGTTCAATTCTTGACCCCAAGTTCAGCTAGAAATACTAAGCAATCACTGAAGATGAACAAATTCAAGGGGTTAAAGGAGTAGCCTACCTTTAGACCAGGAATGATACCACGAGCTGCATCAAAACAAGCACCTGAAATTCGTCCATGCTCACGCAACTCAGGTCTGGGAGCCTCACCTAATCTTCCTTCTGGATCTGACCCAATCACGTTAAAGTATCTGAAAGTTATTCAACCAAAAATATATGAATTCATAACCACTGGAAATTTTTTGTAATTCTCAAATTTTTAATCTGCGGAAGGAAAAATACGAAGGAAAAGCATATTGTTCGACTATTTGTGGTTAGAACCCTACACATTGAATATCAGACATGGAGTTCTTTGGGGTCTTCGGATGTCACTAATCCTAAATTTGTGATTATAACTATCTGAATTAAGCAAGCTTCTATGCTTCATTTTGCCTATGATCTAGAAATACAAAAGTATATGTCTCATACTTGCAGTTGTTAACTGGCAGAACAATCACAACTTAACAGATCTACACCCTCCAATTACAGAAAAGGTATAAAATCCACAAGCCTACACACATACTTAGTTTCGGATGAAGACATGGAAGACTTATGTGATATTGTTAAAGTATTAAAATTATGCATGTTGAGATAAAGAAAACAGACAAGTAAGAAAACCCTACCAAAGATAAAGTAAAAAGCATTACCAAGATTCTCGAAACTTCTAAACGGAAACTAAATACAAACCTTAGGATCATAACTGCCATCTTTGAATTCTTAGAGAAATCCAGGATGATATCTTCTGCCATCTTCTTAGCTTTTCCATATGGATTGATTGGAACCTGAGGTTGTTCCACAAAAAAGGTCAGTTGCCTGCTATTATAACCATATGTAAATCGAAAACAAGTTGTAAAGTGCAATCCTTTATTCAATGGCCTCAAACAGAAATTTCAAAAATAATTAAGCATAAAACCAAGTTTGAAACTTGCCTGTAGAGTTTCTTCAGTGATTGGCATCTTTTCAGGCTCCCCATATGTGGCACATGTACTAGAATATATCAATGTCTTAACACCATGAGCAGCCATCGACTCTACGACCACCAAGGTGTTAGAAGTAATGTTGTGATAGTATCTGTACATCATGGCCAAACACACCATAGAGAACATCAATTTGGATACTACTTTATATATTATAAATGAAATATTTCCAACAATACTTAAGTAATCATCGTGGGATGACTTTTCTCAACCACAGATCCAGAGGTCAATTTTAATAGACTCTGATGGATTCAATTCCCCCCTAATTCACAACAGCAAAGTTCAACAGATACTGATGGCTTTTCCCCTGAACAATAGCATCTAAACATAGTGATTTTTTATGGTGGAGTTAATTCAAATAATAAAAGGACATTTGAATGTTTATGATGTCAGTGGCACTAGCAGTGCCTGTAGTTTAGCAGATAGCAGCAGCAAAGCTAGTAGCTGAATAGCACAGTTAGTAAGAAGAAAGCACTCAGAGAGAAATCGGACACCAATTTGCAAACCCCCCATTCCAAAGTCAATTTCTTATTCATTCTGAACCATTAGGTTAAGATAAAGAAAGGGCACTAGAAAATTTTGAAGTCTTTATATATGGAAGCCAGGATTTAATCAAGTATACTTGGTGAAACAAATTCATCTAGAGATCCACATAAATAAAATTAATCCAACTTAAAGTTCCCTCTGCAACTTGTTGACCTAGAATAGATCTTCTCTACACAGCTCTTTTGAGGATGGGAAATTTTTAGCTTCATTTATAGTGCTTTCATAACTCATGGCAAGTGCAGTTAAAAAAATTTAAATAGAGTTGAGTATAGAAAATGGCACCTCTGCCATGTAATTTATAAACAAGGGCAGCACAAATGAAGTATACAGTCCTTATACTCAAATCATAGCACTAAAGCTCATGGTTAAGTTCTTTAACTAAATAAGCCCTTGTCAAACTACCTATTTTAATCAGCCAAAACAGCAAAACAAGCAATCTACTTCACAGCTCATCTAAACTATATTAACTCTGCCAACTATATATCATAAAGGAGACTTACTTGAGAGGATCAAGCGTGCTCTCCCCAACATATGCAACAGCCGCAAAGTGCATTACAGCATCAAATGCATTTTCTGAAAATATTTTATTCACCTAAATATAAAATCAAGGAAACAGTAAACCATATCCATGCTTAAATGCCTAAAAGAGATAATTCTAAAAATAATAATAAATAAATTCATGAAAAGGATACAGCTTTTGCATTGCCCAAATCAGCATAAATGAATTGAAGCCTCCCAGGTTCTGGAAATAATTCTTGTAGAACCTTGACAGCACCTATGTTTCCACGAGAAAGATTGTCCTGCCAAATTACGAGGTAACTTCTTCCTTAAAACTAAAGACTACTCACTATGCAAAAGCTGTGAAAGACTAGAAACGAAGGCTGTTACATATCCTAAGCTAAAAACATACCACAATAGTTACACGGTATGACTCCTTCAGAAGTCGTAAAGCAGCATGTGAACCAATATAGCCAGCACCACCAGTTACGAGAACATGAGTCACCCCTTTTTCATGTTGGGAGAACTAGAAAGACACAAGTCAAGAAATGGGAAAAAAATATCAGAAGTTGAAGCATTATATAACTTAAAAACAGCCACTACCACAGAAACAACTGGACCTATTCCAAGTTTTCATATAAAGTAGCAGCATTTATAATTTTCCTTAAGTCAAAGTAAAGATGACATTAATCACATTCAAGGGCAATGGACACATCCATAATCAATTGAGCTGCTTAATTAAACTAAGCCTGCAGATGGCAATTACAACATGCAAGGATGAAAATGGCATAGAGTCCTGCTACAATTGCTGATGGAACCCCAAAAATATTAATCCATACATAAAAACTTTCTCAGCAAGTGAAAACAATATCTTATAAATAGCAATAATTAACAATTATTGCTATTTGTTCTTCAATTAGCAAACAACTAATCCAGATCTATACATGAGGAACATGTGGCACAATCTCTTGATAGAATAAACTGGATATTATAGTATCACTGAGCCCCATTTTTGTATGTAAAGCAGAGAACAAATAGTCGCCTCCATTATCAACTTCCTCATGAATTTTAACTCAAGTACAGCACAATGCTTATTCCAAAAGAGGGAAGTAGAAGAACTAGAGATAGGATCAAGTACCCGACTTGGAGTACTAAAAGTTGGGGATTGCTTGAGCATGATAATGCATAAGGCTGTAAGGGTTGCAGCCAAAAGGATTTTTCCTACAAAATTGCTCTTCCTTTTGGGATCCGGATAATCCATGCCTACATGCAAAGCAAAAACAAGAAAAATCAGCTTAGAGAATACTTTGGTCCACTTAGCAGTGCATTAAAACTTAACCAAGTCAGATACCAAATCATAAATAACTGAAGCATAAATTGGCCAAAAAAAGAACACTCAGTAACAAGTAGTTAAAAATTTGAAAGTAAAAGGTAAAAAAAAATACATTTCAATAAATTTCTCCGAAGAAGATGGATTATCATCTCATGCTCATTCTTCAAATCGACATGAATGGGAACAATTTAAACTTTTTAAATGAAAATGACATGATTAAGTCCAAAAGCAACAAAAAAAGAAATGGCATCAAAATCATAAAACACAATTAAGCAGAATTGGCTTCAAAATTGAAGTTGAGAGAAAATCTCACCGGCAAAAGGCATAGATCTAGTAGACCTTGGTTGAGTTCTTCCTCTTGCAAAATTTAGCATTTGGAAAAACGCTTCCTACAAATTATGTTCAGCAAGAACCAGTATTTATATCCCAATTTCAGTGATCAAGCAAAACACCCTTCCTCTGCAATGTGCTGCAAAAACGAAATGCCAAAAAAGAAAAAGCAAAACAGACAATGATTAGCACATTTCTGAGATATTAAGAACACAATAGAGCCATATCAGAATTATAAACAGAAAAAGGTAAAACAAAAAACAAAAATCAATTATAAATGGGCCCTCCATTGAATTTTAGAAAAAAAGACAGCACAAAAGGTTGAATTCAGAAAGTATGAAAATTTTTCAAAAGGAGAGGAAAAAATAAACCCAGGAATATTTTCATATCCCCAATTCAAAATTCTATAATCACAGACCGAATTAAGCCAGAAATTCAAGATCCAACAAAACCACATAGCAAGTAAAAAGAAAGACAATTTCGAAGAAATGAAAATAAAAATTTAAAAACAAAAACCTCATTCAGAACTCTTTGTCAGAGCATGTCTGTTGAAGCACTAGAATCAAAATAAATAAATAAATAATCCAAATAAAAACAGATAATTTGATAATCACACAATATATTTTATTTTCGTCTAATCAGAAACAAACCCAGTTCTGAAAACAAAGTTAGAAATCCAAATCACAGGAAAAAAAAAAAACCCATCAACGAAATTCGATCACTCTCATAAAAGAAAACGGGAATTCAAGAAGAAACAAAAACCAGCCTCTAATGGCAGAGCCATAATAGCAAAGAGGAAAAAAAACTTAATTTTACCTGAAAATAAAAACAAAAGAACATTAATAAGGGCCTTAAAGGTGACCAAAAGAAAAAACAAAAGTGAGAGACTGCAAAAGAGCCCAAGAGGAAGAGAGCTTCAACTTAGCATCAAACGAAACGATCTAACATGGAAATTTATAATACATGCAAATATGCAATGCAAGAAATACTGAAATAAAAAAATAAAAATAAACCCAAAATTAAAATTAAAAAAAATGAAAAAAGAAACCCACCCCCACGACGATAAGAAACGTGAGAGAGAGAGAGAGAGAGAGAGAGAGAGAGGAAACGTAGAAAGGAGAAGGAGAGGAAAGGAAAAGGAAGAGCCGGTCCCGGTCTTATGGGTACGTTTGAACTTTGAATATAAGGGAAGAGAGCAATGGAGTTGTTGTAGGCGGAGTTTTCTCCGTGTCCATGTTGTCAGCCATCTATAGGAAACAAAACTACAAAATTATTATTATTATTATTATTATTATAAATTAAAATATTACTAAAATTCTTTTATTTTGTTTTGTTTCAATTATATTTAATTTAAGAATTATTTTCAAAGTTTAGAAATTTATTTCAAAAAAATTATATTCAATCTGAACGAAAAAATGATTTTATTGGTAAGGGTGCGTAAAAAGTCAATTCAGTTAATTCGATCATAAATTTTTTTAAATTGAATTAATTGAATTAAAATTTTTTATTAATCATATGAATTGAAGGATATAGTATAATCTATTAATTAGTAATCGAATTGTATTAATTAATTTAATTAGTTTATTTAATTAATCAAAATATCCTAATCTCATGTGTCTTTAATGAACTTAAGTTTTTTTTTTAATTATTGTATTTTTTATATGAATAGAAAGTGATTTTAATTTATACGAGTGAATTTAGTTATATAAATTCTTATAATTAAATTAATTTAATAAAAAATTTGATTAATGGAATCAACTATACTATTACAGATTGGAATTACGTAATTAATTTGACTTCAATTTTAATCAAATAATGCCCTGCATTAAATCTTTTGAAATTTTACAATTAAGAAAAAATAGTTTTTGTAATTAAATTTAACATTTATTTTACCATTTATTTATAGAATTGATATCAACGTGGCAATAATTAGAAAACATGTTCACACTGAGGATCATACAGTACATTGCGTTCAAATTAGGTATAAAAAGAATGAAATTTAATAAAATAATAAAAAATCAAATAGGTATCTCAAAGGGCGTGAAGAACCAATCATTTGGTGCCATTTGTCGAAAAAAAAGAGGCAAAATAAAGCAACATAATAAAGACATTTGCCAAGGCGCGACGAATGCGGGGACTCACGAAGCACTTGCCAACATGTCAGCGTCCTAGTGATTTGGGTCCCACATGTCATGGACCCCACTTCGCCGACTCTTCTTCTTCCTCTATATTTCTTGCACTACGGCGACGCGAACTCCCCCGACTGAACCAATCTATCACTTTTCTTTCTTTTTTTTCTTCCTTTTTTTTGTTTTTTACATTAATACCCTTTTTTATAAAGTTTTGGTTGGGTAAATTCCGTGAGCGGTCCCTGACTTTTAGGTTGAGTACATTTTCGTCCCTAAGTCCTTTGAATGGGTTTATTGACTTCTTCGATTGGTCAAACTCTTATTGAATTAGATACCAATATCATCATTTTCATTAATTTGACATATGTGTCATTCCATGTCATCTTTTGTATAGTTGTTTTTTTATTAAATTTTTTTAATTTTGACTGTTTTTATTTAAAATGTTTCAATTAAGTAAATTCCACAAAATTTATTTATGTAAAACTACTTTTATTCAAAGTTTGGAAAAGATCTTTTTTCATACTTTTGTTAATGGTAAATATAAAACAGTAAGAAGTCAAATTGAAAATTTTTTAACTCGACAAAAGTTAAAATATGACAAGGTTATTGGAACAAAATGATGAGTCAAATCCTTGGGTTAGCTTGTTGCTCTACATTGACCTTAACTAGTTCGACATAACATGACCAAATCACTTATTTGATGAATCTTAGTTTAAGATCTAGCCTTACCTTGTCCCTTTAGCTCGGACCCTGTATTACTCATTGGCAAAGGTGGGAAGCAAAGTGAAAGTTAAAAGAGTAAATTATTTATTTAAGAAAATAGATCATATGTAATATTAATGCTTAGATAAAAAAAATTAAAGCGAATCGAGTTAATAATAAGATTTAAAACTAAAAAATTAACAACTTTATTGTATTAATTTACAAATTTTGTAAAAGAGGGGCCAAAACAGGATTTTACCCTTTGTTGTGTATAACAAAAGGGTGAAGTTCATTGGCTTTGTAATACCTCAAGGTCAATATTACCTTATTTTTAAGGCATTCCATTGATAGAACTATGATTGGAAAAGATTACTTATCGATTTTTATTATTAAAGAAAATAAATAAAAATATTTTAAATTCTACGAATAAATCGACTAATAAATTTATTGTAAATAGAAATATTTTAAATTCTACAAATGAATTAGTTTATAAATTTATCAAGAACAATATTCTTCGTCCACAAGAATATATATAATTATTAAAATTTATGGTAGTTATTTTGTTTTCATTGTATATTGTCTTCCTATATTTAATAATAAAAGAAAAAAATAGTGGAAAAAAGATGGAAAATAGAAAAAAAAATGAATAAGGAGGGAAGAATGGTAGTAAATTACTGATAAAAATGTGGTAGCATTGGACTAGGTCCAGGAGACAACACGACACAGACGTGAAAGTGTGTTCGAACTGGGAATGGTCCGAATGGGACCCACTACCGACCGTACCCCCATAGGCGGCTGCCACGTAATAACATTTTTGAAATCGCAACCAAAATTCACCTACTCTTTTTTAGAAATTATCAACCGCTCGGCCGCTTACCAAAATATTGCTGTCGGTAGGGAACCTTACGGCTGTTTTTTTTTTCATTTTTTAATATTAAGAATTAATTTACAAAAAATATGTAACATACATTTCTTATCTATTAGTTTGAAAAAGTACCATTTTTTCTTTATGAGATTTGGTTAAAAATATATTTATCTTTTGTAAATTATCCAATTAACGTGAAAAAAAAGAAAAATTATTTTTTTATTATTTTTATTGTTCTATTTATCTTATCCCATTTCATTTTTTTTTGCTTTATTTTTATTTTTTGGGTCTAGAACCTTTTGCTTTTTACATTACAAAAATTATGAGATTTAATTGGTTATAAATACTTTTGTTATATGCATATTCTTAACTAAAGTAAATTAAATTTTAATTTACTTGTCACTGTTTTTTTTTTAACTAAAGTAGCTTTCAAGTTGTTAGCAAAGGGGACCAATACATTACACTACATATTTAGATAAAGCCAACCCAATTCTTGCACCTCACTTGTCTAATATTACTCTTTTTGTTTCAAATTAAATGTTCATTTTTGTTTATATTTAACTTGTTTCATTTAAATTTTTTGAATTTTTATATATTTAAAAAAATTATATACGCTAAAATCAAAAACAAAATTTCTTAATTCCCATCTCATGTTAAACATAAAAATTCAAGAAAAACCAGAGAAAATAGTATATTACAAATAAATTATATAACAATTATCACAAAAAAAAAGAGTTACATCCGTAAATCAATCCAAATGGAAACTAAAGAATAAAGTTGAAAAGAATAAAAAAAGGCATGTGCTTTTTAAAATTTACATATTTTATATAAATCTCTTTAAATTTATTTGATCTTTTTCTAAATTAAAAGAAATTTGACCTTTTCTTGATCATGTCACGACTAGTTAAGTAAAGCCCTAGTTAAGCATAGTTCGGTAAGAGTTGCCAAAAACAATTTACTCGACCAAATCTAATCTCAATCTTAAAAGGTTCTCTTAACACTAAATGGGTAGGTTTATATTTAATCTATTAATAGTGCATAAATTCTATATATTATTAGTCAATTAAATACTATCACTTTATTAATAAATAAATTTAAAAATTAAAAATCTTAAAAAATAAATACTCAAAATTTTAAAAAAATTTATACATTTAATTCACCGATGCTATGTGCATGACAATGTATTGAAGATAAATTTTTAAGAAATTAAAAATTTTGTCGTTTTATGCACTTAATTAAATAAAATAATAAAGTGCATAAGTCCCCACTTAACTCTCAAGTCACCTTGAAAAATTAAAAAATTCCGGCCAATTGATGGTTTTGTACACATATCCAAACGACCTTAGAGCCAGGGCAATTAATTAATTAATTAATTATTGTAGGCATTTTAAATGGATATTGCTTGTCAAATCAATTAACTCTTTGGAATAAAAAGGGGACCAAAGAAAAAATTTTAAAAAATAAAACCCAAAAAGGAGTTTCATTACAAATATAAGTGTAATCCAAGTCTCCTCCCCATTTTCCAATCTATAGTAACTAATAATGTTAAACCTAGCTACTGCCCTTTGCTTAATTAAGAAGGTAATTGGCTTTTCCATCAAACAAGCAACAAACCAACCCCAACTTAATTTAATTTTTTTATCCATCAATTACTTAGCATTTAATTTAATTTAAAACCGATTAATCCCGACATATTTATTTTACATAAAATTAAAATTATGCATTTTTATCCAATTCAGGTTTTTTTTAATAAATTTTTTCTTTATTTTTATTATTTTTATTTTAATTAAAGGAATTGTGAAGTTGAGATTCGATTAGAACTTAAATCTAGATATTGTAAGTGGAGTTGGCATTAAGTCAATGTCATCTAATAGTAGTTATGGGTAGGCATTTTGTTTTATATAATTTATAAAGTGCAGTTCATTAATTTATTTTTTGAGGTGAGTGAGCTTTTCTTTGGTTTTATTCTATAAAATAATGTCTACTGGCCTTTGATATTAAACAAAAACACTAACTACTTACATACACATAATAAAATTATTATTACATGTGAAATTTAAGAATAAACAATATTGTACAGCGAGATAAGATTTAGATAAAAATTTTAAGTTCGAGTCGTGTTGTTATTTTTTGTAAAATTATAAAATAAAAGCAATATTTTTATATTCAATTTGTTTGAATAATTAATTATATAATTTATCGAGTATCGAAATTCAAATATATCTTAAACTAATTCATCATTATATTATACAACCATGGCTTTGAAAGTTTAAATATAACGTAAAATATGAAATTAGCACTTAAGTATTTTGTTTAATAATTAGTGTATTGTTTTTTTCCTATCAAAGTTTGATATTAACAAAATAAAATTAACTATAAATATGATTTCCATACATTATATCATGGAGATAACTATCTAATGTATAAAATAAGTAAACATTTTAAATATATTATTGAATCTTATTTTATCTTATTTAATCAAATATATTAGTCTTATGTGACTCATTTTCGACTTTCATTTCTGAAATTATAAACATATCAATATATAAAAAATAAAATAATTAATTTTCTTTATAAATATAAATAAAAGGAAAATCAATTTTGAAGTTTTCATTATAATGAATCATCATTCATTATATATCTTTATTACTTATTATCATAAATTAATATTTGATTGTTATGTTTTTAATTTAAAAATTTGTATATAATTTTACCTATTATAAATAATTTAGAACAAATAAAAGAAATATTGAGAAGAAGAAAAAAAAAGGGGGGGAGGCCGGGGGTGCTAATTAAGCATGTTGAGAGAATGTCAAGCAGAAATCCTACATGAAGGTGGTCTCATATCATTGTCAAATTAAGAAGGGCTCACCTTCCCTCTCTGTTTGATTCCTCATATACCTTATCCTAAAAGGCCTGTCTCCTATTGTGGACCACCTTTTTATTTGTTGTGATGTATAGTACACTACTAATTATGTAACAAATTTGAGTAGAAATATGCAAATTTTAGTGAAAGATATTAAGAATATATTCGATTATAGATTCATATATTATCAGTGAATTATATATTGCAATCTCATTAATAAATAAAATTATAAATTTGAATACCCTTAAAAATAAATAATTTTTATATATTTATGAAATGACATTTTATGATTAAGTGATAACAAATAGATACTACATACATTGATAGAGGCCACCATAAACGTTTAATTAATTGTTACATTAATTGCAACTAGCCTAACTTATGATCCCCATTGGAAAAATTAATTCTTTTTTGATACAAATAATTAGGGTGTGTGGTGTGGCTAGTTGTCTTAATCTTGATTAGGGGCCTATACATGGAATAGGTAATATGTTATAGTCATCTTTGATTTTTCCTCTTTGTTTTTTTGGAAGTGTCCCATTGCTTTACCTAACTTGGTATTGACTTGTATTCTACAGCCAAGAGGGAAGGCCCCATGTTAGCTCTAGGAATCAGTCAATGAAACTTCACATGGGTTGACTAATCCAAGTTCTACTCATAACAAAAGGAGGATTAAGATTTAATTAAAACAATTTAGTTTACTTAGAAATTGCCTCTGAAAAGAATTTCCACTTGTTCAGAACAAGAACAGAAGGAATCGAAGGGGGTTGTCAATATAGTTTATGTCCACTTGGGAATGAGAGATAATGATGATCAAATATTCTTCCATTTCTCCAATGGTCAATGAGACATATTCTTCAATTGAAAATTCTGCTTCATGGGTTGTTTCTTCTTTCATATTTTGTCTTCATTATTGAAATGGTAAGAAAGAAAGTTGTTAAATTAAGAATATTTTAAATATATAAATATTATTATTAATTAGTTTTAGTTTAAATGTACACATCAAAAAATTTAACATGATATAAGAACAGTTACTACCCATATTTATTAACTTCTTCGTAATTCATGCTACATGATAGGTTCATGTTCTTTACATGTAAAAAAGAATATAAAAATATGGTTAAATTAAATATCTCTTAAGCACATAAATATAGTAAAAATTACTTCATTTATCTTAAAAAATCAATAAACATCGGAATTGTTGCATAATTTAGACATAATTGATTCTTTCATGACTCTTACCAACCATGCTCTCTATTTTCTTTGATTATGAAATTACTATAATAGAAATGGGTTGTAGAAACTCAAAAACAAGCTCCAAAACCAGCCAATTTTTGTTTAGAGTATTGAAAATAGTAAGAAAAAGAAGGTAAGGGAAAGGGAAATTGTGGGTTTTTTCAAGGCTAGGTTGGTGATAGAGCAGAAAGATTTAAAGTTGGATTGGGAACTGAATTTGAGTCCAAATGGGGTGCTGGACTTTCCCCAAACTTTGAATTCATGCCTCTCTTGTCATTATGTCTTCACTCTTACGAAAAATTTGGCAGATTATGAAGCCGAGGCTGTTGTTTTACCTCTTCTTTCTTTCTATCCTCGCTTTCCAATCTTATCCTCAAATTCAAGAAAACTTTAAGTATTAATTGATGTCATGACTAATTAGTCATGATTATATTATGGTGAAGTCGAACAATTCAAAGGGTTGATTTTTTAATTCTTTCTTTCTTCAACTTATTCATAAGAAAATATAATTTTTGATTAAGGAAGAAGGAATAGAGATAGTAATAGATATCTTTTAAATGAGTATCATAAATATCCAACTTGATTATATAAAATATAAATATTTTATATTCGAGTTTGAGATGAATTCAAATAACAAATTTAAGAAGAATGGAGAAAGAGAAAAAAAAAAAAAAACTTCAAATATGACTTGAAAGAAGGTTAGTTTTGAAGGGCCATGGTTGCTTAGCCGCCTCTAACTTTGTTGGCTTCTCCGTTGGGACCTTGGGCCAGAGATTATTCCCCCACACCCCACCAATAAGTCATGTAGTTGTCACCATGTCACGTTCTACATCCTAGAGGAATTGGCTTCTTTTGTTTTCATTGACTATTTAGTTTAATAATAATAATAATAATAGTTTGATATAAATAATGCAAATAATTTGATGCGAGATATTAAGTATTCGATTACTCGTGAAATGCTAATTAATTGGTTACCAGACCTTGACCTACACATCAAGCTTGCAAGCTCGGTTTGCTCCGACCTTCATTCGGGTGATTTTAAAGTCGTGCGTTATTAAATTTATTGGTTGACATAAAATGTGAACAAATTTATTAGGTTAAATTCAATATAAATTTTATTATGATTTTATGAATTGGATTGGTTAATTGGGTTTGGTTATCGAATTGTTCGATATTTATAATGTTACGTTGTCAATGCATTTGAGCCCAATTTGTTTTATTTAATAGGCTTAGGCCTAGAGGATGGTGGGTGCGTTGGGCTCGAAAACTGATGGGCCGCATCTTGTATAATTTTTATTATAGTCTAAAATATATTGAAAATTAAAAATTCAATTAATTAGCGTTTAGGGTTTTCCAATCTCATAATCAAAATCAATCCATTAATTAAGTAAGTTGAATCAATCAACCAAGAACCTCTTACTTGAACAAAATAATTGAAAAAAATTCAACTCTTTGATCAGATTCAGTAAAGTAATGTGCTTTTTTGTATCAATTTCTAACAACATTAACAATTAACAATAGCAAATTAACAGTAGAGTGATGCAGAAAAACAAAAACGTTAGCGAAGAGCTGATGAACAAGGCCAAAACAACCAGAGAGTATGAACTAGATACTAAACATAGAACAGAGAAAACTATACAAATATATATATCCATTAATCTTGGGAGGATTACATATCAATGTGATTGATTAATTCAGAGAGATCAATAAGCAGGTTATTGATATCTCGAAGAGCAGCATTAATCTTGGTAAGTTCGTCCTTGCCGGCTTGGTTCATAAGTTTAGACATCTCAATCAATGCCTGATTGAGATCTCCAAGTCTAACATTAATCTTCAAAATATCTTCATTTGGGGGGGCTTGCTTCATTAGCGTAGAGGATCCAATCTGGGTAATTAATTTAGAGACATGATTCATTGTATGAATCATATCTCGATGAGAAAGAACAGCACTGACCTCCGCAAGATGAGTAAGGGTACTGTTAATCTCCGAGAGATGGTGATGATGGAAGACTTTCTCCAATAGCGCCTCGGAGTTGTTGAAATTGTCTAAGTTATTTCCAACAACAGACTTTTCCAGGTAAGAGATGGGATCGAAGTAGGACATGGGTGGCACAGAACCGGGAGGTGAGTCTTCGGGAGAAGGTGGGAGAGGTTTGGGATCGAGGGGTGAGTCGGAAGAAGAACGGCGGACAAGGCGGAACAGATGAGGGACATACCTGGGCAACGACGACGTAGAAATCGCCGACACATTGAAAAAACCCAGTACTCTACGAGCCATCAACAAAACCTGGAATCAGAAACGGAAAGAAGAAAACCCTCGAACTTGCCTGTTGAGAGGGTTTTGGGTTTTAGGGATCAATGGTGGTTTAGGGAGAGAAGGGTTTTAGGGTTTGAACCCATTCATTGACATATTCACTCCTCTTCAGGCAAATTCTTTATTTGGGTTTTAGGGTTCTTCTGTCTTAATTCCTTAACTTAAGATGTCTTAAATCTTTTCAAATCTCATTCTATTTATTCATAACCTAATCCAAATTTAGTAGTAATATCCATTCATAAATATAAAATTATTTAGTTGGTCAATATACTTGCTATTAGAAAAAGTTAAATAAATTCATCAATCTTACAAAAATAAACTCAACATTGATAACTTGCTATTAAATTCAAACCAAAAAAATGAAAAAAAAAATTCAATAATATAATTTGTTTCCTAAATTCAATTATGAAATGTGATAAGTTTGGTAAATTTATACAAATTCAAATCCCAAGCACACCAAAAACATTTTTACACTAAATTTGCATACAAATTTTCATTAAATTCTCTTGGAAATATGATAATAGGTACTTAGATAAATAATACTAAAACAACTAAATTTTCATTGTTAAACCATTTTTATTTGGATATCCTACTTAAACCGAGTAACATAACAATAATTTCGAATAATGGGTGTCTTAATCCTCGAGCTCGAACATTATAATTATTTAAAATCATATTAATATAATTTAATCGGGTCGGATACCCGAGTTGATTACCATCCTTATTTCATCCGAAGCTCCAAGCCCTAATGTGGGTCACACCTCCATAAAAAAGGACCGTTGCATTCCACGCCTTGTACTAAATGTTAATGTAACACAATTCAAATTTCAAAAGTTCAAAATGGAGAATAAAGAAAGCTGCCACTTTTCTCTCACATTGCTCTCTTGAAAACGGAGCTCTGGCTTTGATGACAGAATCTATCAGTCTATTTCTAGTTCAAGAAGAATCCCAGGCCAGCTCCACTCTCACACTTCAAATTTCAAATCCTCACTTTCCCTTTTTTGTTAGATTCATAGCTAATACTTACAAAGTTTTAGAACTTGACAAAGGGTTCCAATTTGTTTTTTTTTTTTTGGGTTCTTTTTCCCTGAGAAAAAGGCAAATGCTTTTGGCTTGAAGATTGTTGGAACTTCCTTTCCTTGTTTTCTACACGATGAGAGAAGAAAACCCATCAGAGAACAGAGCCAAAGCTTCAAAATTTGCAGATCAAAATCAAGCACCAAGGTCTCATAACACGAAAACTACTATCCATCAATCGAAACCCAAGTCTTCATGGGGTTCACACATTGTGAAGGGCTTCACAGCTGACAAGAAAACAAAGGTTCAAACCATCACGGTCCCAACCAGGAAAGAGACTATATCAAATTCTGATGCGGGAAACCAAAAGAACCCATCTTTGGCTTCTCATTCTAGAGTTAAAAGGTCACTCATTAGTGATTTAGCTTGCTCGGTTAATGCAAACCAAGTTCACCCTCAAGTGTACCAAACTCACCGGAGACAGTCCTCGGGTTCTCGTGATTTGTTCATTGAATTAGACCATGCTAGGAGCCTTCTTCAGGAATCGAAAGGAAGGGAGCTTAAGCTGCAAGCTGAGCTTGCAGAATGGAAAACAAATGCTAAAGTTTTGGATCTTGAAAGGCAGCTGGAAAGAAGGAACAGTGAGGTAGATGATCTTTCACACAGAGTTGGGCTGTTGGAGTCTGAGAAGACCAGCTTATATGAGCAAGTGGCAACTTTGAGTTCCATTTTGGAAAGCAATGAGGACAATTTGGAAATTTCAAAGGAACCACAATCAATTAGGAATCTTGAAATGGAAGTTGTGGAGTTGAGGAGGTTGAACAAGGAGTTACAGCTGCAAAAGAGGAACCTTGCTTGCAAGCTTTCTTCTTTGGAGTCCCAGTTGGCTTCTCTTGCCAAAGCTAATGAGGTAGTTTCATTAACTTTTAATTCCTCTGTTTGTTTGATGAGGAATTTTTGCATCATAAAATTAAGAAAATATAAGATCAAAAAGATGTCTTTATTGTCCTCTATAATTCAAGGGGATTAAGCGTAGGATCAGTCAGTTTTTAGTCTACTGCAATATGCTCGCTTGGTTTTCCTTATTAATCTGTTTAGAAGATTTTCATTATCCTTTCTCATTCTTTGTGGTCGTCTTGACTTAATCCTTATATTACTTTATTGTAGTCTGTCTTGATTACTGCTATAATTTTGGAAGTATTTTGGTTTGTCTTGAGTGCTTTTGATTGTTTTGCTTTCTTCTGGAGTATTTAGGCTTTTGAACCCATTGTCTTGGTTTTGCTATTTTCTTGCTGTTCTCCTTGTTGGTTTTATCAGAGTGATGTTGTTGCAAAAATTAAAGCTGAGGCGTCAACGTTAAGACACATCAATGAGAACCTGAGTAAACAAGTAGAAGGTCTACAAATGAGCCGCTTGAATGAGGTTGAGGAGCTTGCATACTTGAGGTGGGTTAATTCGTGCTTACGGGATGAATTACGAAATTCATGCTCAACAATGAATTTTGATAAAACATTTAGTCCAGTTCAAAGCAAGGGTGAATATGTTGACACACCAAACTCTTTAAGCAGTAAGAGCTCAGAATACAGTAGTGTAATGAGATTAAGTTTAATTAAAAAGCTTAAAAAATGGCCTATGACTAGCCAGGATTTTTCAAGTACAGAATGTTTAGCTAATCTTGTGGATAAGGATTGGACGCATTTAGAGGAGGGGAGAAGTCCTGGAAGAAGACATTCTATAAGTGGATTGAAATGTTATGTAGAAGAGTTAATACCAAATAAGAGAAGGCAATCTGATGGTTTTACGTGTACAAAAGAAGTGGAAAAGGAAGCAGAGCCACTGAGTTCTCAAAAGTATGGTTCAGTTCAAAGAATGCAGTTCTTTGGAAATTGCCAAGAGACTAATAAGCCTGCAGCTTCCTTAGATGTTGAGAAAAGGGCTTTGCGAATTCCAAATCCTCCTCCCAGACCTTCCTGTTCAATTTCAAATGGACCTAAAGAGGAAAGTTCTACACAAATTCCACCTCCTCCACCACCACCACCTCCTCCCCCTCCAAAGTTTTCAGTGAGAAATGGTGCAGGACTCGTGCAGCGAGCCCCACAAGTAGTTGAGTTTTATCATTCACTCATGAAGAGGGATTCTCGAAAGGATTCTACAAATGGAGGAATATGTGATGTGCCAGATGTTGCAAATGTCCGTAGCAGCATGATCGGTGAAATTGAGAACAGATCATCACATTTGCTTGCTGTAAGTGCTTGCCTACTAACTATAAGTTTGATCTTTTTATACATGAGCTTGAATTTTCTTTACATAAATGATTTCAGCTCCAAGTTGCATTTTCTATTTATTTTCTGCTACATGGACAATATAGAGACCAAATGAAAACATAATATTCATTTGGCATGGGCGTTTGAGTTTATGTTTTAGGAACTCATTTTGTTTAAAGCTCTTTTATTGACATAAAATTGTTTTTAAATTGTTTACTGCATCAAACTTGGTTGTTCAGCTACTCTGGGTCTAACCATGATTTATAATCATTCCTTATGTAGATAAAGGCAGATGTCGAAACTCAAGGAGAATTTGTGAATTCATTGATAAGAGAAGTCAATAATGCTGTTTATCAGAACATTGAAGATGTAGTGGCATTTGTGAAGTGGCTTGATGATGAACTTTGCTATCTGGTAAGTTGCTAATTGTTAAGGAGAAAAGAACTTAGTAATATTGCAATTTGCTTGCAATTTCCTAATCCTTGTATCTGTTATGCTTAAAGAGATCTACTGCATGAGAAACATCACTGAAATGATGGAAAGATATCTGTGTCTTTAAATGAGTTGGCATGCGTGCAGTATGGCTTTTCCTAAAAGAAAAAAAAAATCTTTTGAAGGTTGATGAAAGGGCGGTCTTAAAGCACTTTGCCTGGCCAGAGAAAAAAGCTGACACATTGCGAGAAGCAGCATTTGGGTATCGAGATCTCAAGAAATTGGAGTCTGAGGTCTTATACTACAAGGATGATTCCAGAATGCCTTGTGATATTGCCTTAAAGAAAATGGTTGCTTTGTCTGAGAAGTAAGAATCCAAAAAACTGTCCTTTGAGCATTTTGGTTCTTTTTCTTTTGGAAGATTCCAATTTCTGCAAGTTGAAAACCTCTGAAAATTTCCATTAAATTGCCAGGATGGAGCGCACTGTTTATAACCTCCTCCGTACAAGAGAGTCATTGATGCGTAACTGCAAGGAATTCCAAATTCCCACAGACTGGATGCTTGACAATGGGATTTTAAGCAAGGTACTTGAAGTTGTCATTTCCAATATATTTAACTAAGATGTTCCAAATTTTCTAAGAACAATTTCCTACAAGACTTCAATATCTACACTCCAATGGTATAACAAAATTTCATATGAACTGGTTTTTGGCTTTGATTTTGTTGTCTGCCTCTGGTTTTATATTTAGTATAGAAAAGCAGAAAAGCAAAGTGCACATGTGCACTCCTATCCTATGCATGTATGTATGTATTTCTTGAAACATAACCTAACTAGATATCCCATCATATTCTTTTATAATGTTGAATATTTTTTTTGGCATACTTATGTTTGATGAAAGAGAGTTCAAAAGGGAAAATTTGGAACTAACAACAACTTGTAAAGCATAATCCGATGTCATGCCTCAATAGGACTCTTTGTAAAGATTATTTGAGGCAATGCTATGGAAACAAGTCACATATTTGGTATTTATCTATAATTTGATGTAACCATGTCTTGTGTTGTTTCTCAAAAATTCCATTGTTCCATCTTATTCCTGTAAAATTATCTATCCTAAGAACTGTAAATGTTCAATTTCTACGTTTATTAGCCCCACTTGCTCTAGTACAGATTAGTTTAAGTGACTTACTCTGATAGACGGCTCAATGAATGTTCATATCAGATTAAGCTTGGATCAGTAAAATTGGCAAAGAAGTACATGAAAAGGGTAGCCATGGAACTGCAGTTGAAGGCAACTCTGGAAAAGGATCCTTCAATGGACTATATGCTCCTTCAAGGAGTGAGATTTGCTTTCAGAATACATCAGGTTTGTTATATAAATAAAAGTTTAATTTCTTATTTAGTTTGGCTTGGTTTGCTCAAACATAGGAGACGGAGGGCAAATAAATTAAAACAAAACTAATACACACAACACAAAACACAGACAAAGCTAGATATATCACTTTGAGCTTGCTGTATTTCTCCTTTAGTGAAAAATGTTCTGTACTACCACTAAAAATGAGTCGTTTAGCTTGTATTATGCAAGGAAAAGACAAAGGCAATATGTGCCATCTGGTAAAAAAGCAAATAACATTTAGGAATTAAAGCTTTCGTGGACAACAATATGCATTATCTTAATTACATATCGAATAATTATTTCAGCATTGTTATTACATATTAGACGTTTGCTTGTGCATGGCTTGATAACTGATTAATCTCTCCCTGGTTATGAGCAGTTTAGCTATTATTGGTACGTAACTGGATCAGTTTTCAACACCTAGAGTGATTTCTTTTGTGCTCTATGCAGTTTGCAGGAGGCTTTGATTCTGAAACAATGCATGCATTCGAGGAACTCCGAAACCTGGCCAACCTCCTTAACAAGAAGTAAAACGGAGATACACTTTTTTTTTGTTCTTTCTTTGGGGCAGGGCATGGAGGTTGTTGTTGGAACTATCTTTTTGCTTACCATCTCAGTAAGCTTAAGCAGAAAGGAAGAGTTTTGTGTGTGGAAATGGAAGAGTTTTGATTTGAGTTTATGCTCATTTTGAAGAGACTACGTGTGAAATGCACTATGCTTGGTCAATTTACAGAAGTAAAAATGTGCATTTGAAGCTTCTTCGGGGTTTGCAGTAATAACTGCAGCTTCCAGGTTTCATTTAATATGTAAAATAACCGGCTAAATTGGTCTGTAAACGTAAGATATATGGGCCCATGAGGATTAACATATTGGTATAACTTTGGGTTTTGATTGCCGAATGAACCCCAACAGCATCAGCCTCCTGCTTCTTGGGTTGGACTGATTGGACCCTTCACCCATTTTCCGCGCATTTTGAAGATGTAGGGGAAGAACCTACATCAATGGTGGAGCTTAGTGCTTTTCTTTATCACATGAATTTTTCGCTTCAGTGTTCTCCAACTTGCTTTGATGACAATTGCCATCATCATTACCTCAACACACCAAAGAAAAGAAAGTTTACGACGTGGAGATTCTAATCTGATTGTGAAGCAAATCAATGGTGAATTCTTTTTGAAAGGAACCAAAGCTTAAATGCAGATACACTTGCTACCTATGTAATGATTGGGCTTAAAGTGCCTATAAGTGGTCCACTGTCAAATCCTAAGGCTTAGCTCCAGACAGGAAGTGGAAACTACCGAGTTGGAGTATGGTAGGGGTGAGGGAATTTTCGGTGGAGGAATGAAAAGAACACCAATGACAAAAGCACTCTGATGGGCCGCCATTGCCATTTAGAGACCAAAGCTAGGGGGAGTCAATGGAAGAATTAGATACCTAGTCGTAAAACAATAGATACTAGTCGCTGTGGGCATTGTCCCATGCAGTGTTATAGCTAACGTGGAGAAATGTTTGCAGGAATGAAACTCAAAAAGGGATTTGAGGGGAGCTGGCTCAAACGGTGTAGCATTTGGTTCAAATTCAATGCAAAGAGAAGAACCTCACCAGGGTTTTTGACATGTCAAAGAATCCTCTTGGAAGAGAGGTTTGCCTTGGGTCCATGATTGTCATCAGCTTGTGCCATAAGGCGTTGGGTTTAGGTACCCCATTGAGCTTGCAACCCTAAATAATCTACTGATACGATATGTTGGAGAAATGTGAGGAACTTTACCTATTGAACATTGTCTCCTTATTGTAATTACGACTCTCGCCGTTACTACTGTTTACCCTGATCATGTGTCAAAACTCAAAAGTGATTTGATGTAGACAAAACTTGGTCCTTTCTCTTTCTTTAAGTAAAGGGTTCTTTAAACAATAAGAAAAAAAATGTTGTAAATAGGTAAAAGGATGCATTAAAGACACTGTAAAAGGAAAGATTGGAATGGTCATTGAATGTTATGACCAATGAAAGAAAATAAATAAAGAGTTAGTGAGAGTACACTTAGTACTTTTAATAATTACTCTAAAATTTCTTCTTGGTGGTCTTCTATACATCTTTTTACTTATACCCTTTGTCTCTCTCTCTCTCTCAGAGTAATCCTTCACATTTTGAATACGGAATTTATCGTACAAATGGTGCATACTAATACTAGTTATAGGTGTAGTAGTGAGAACAAAGAAAAAACAGTACAGGCAGGGCGCACAGCTGGGTTCTGGCAGGCGTGAGGCGGGGGAGAGAGGACCCACGTGCGGTGCCATTGCTAAATCAGGCAATCAAATGAACAGTCTTCTCTCTTTTCCTCTTCCCCTTGTATGTGACTGATTAAATCTCATCCACAGGGCTCTGAGCCAACAGATTTGACGTTTTGACAAGATGTAACAATAGCACAGTTCTTTCAATCAAATCAACACACTTATCACCCCCTCCTGCGTTTGGCCTTTCCTTCTAAATAATTGCTTCCTTGTAGCCATACCATTCTTTCTCTTTTTCCACATTTCATTAACTCCAAAAATCACCAGGACAACTTAAAGTAAAGAAAAGAAAAGTGAAAGTTTGGTAGACCTAATTGTAGGAGAATGTGGATAAAGGGTCAATATTGGCCCTTATGGTGATTTATATATCTTTCTATTTTCTTGTTCATTTGATCATGTGATGTTGAGATGGTGTTCATCTTCACATGCATTTGCAATATAGTTTTCAATAATTAAAATGAAACATATGATTTTGATTTGAATTATTAACGTAATTAAGTAATTGTATAGATTATAAACTAAATCAATGACATTAGATTAGTGTACAATTTGGTATCCCACATGAGACATATAGCATTTGACCATGAAATGTAATCTCTTGCATGGAACAGGAAGGATGTGATGACATATGCCCCCAATTGGCTAACAGTCCATGTTGATTTCCTTGGTAAATTTTAGATCCATGTGTATGAGTTCTATTCCATCAAATGCCAAATAAAGATTGAAAACCAAAACAAGAAATGGGGACAGTGGGCAAAGATGCAATCTAACAAGGTTGGGAGAAGAATGTTACACCATTTCCAACTAGTAAGAGAGAACAAATATAACAAAAGAAGAAAGGAAAGGAAAGGGAGGAAATGGGTTTGTTTTTTTGATTGAGAAGACGTATTGAAGTGATATTCAAACTGTCATCACTTCCCTGACTTGGGTTTTCTTTGCTGGGGGCCCGCTCTTGTCTCCTCCCTAACCCTCTCTGTCTCTCTTTGATTCCCTCTTCTTCCATTAATTCTTCATCACCCACTTTTGTAGTTGTAATAATATAAATATTCTCATACTCAGATCATGGCTCTCACTTCCTCCGCCACAACTATATCCCCCTCCCTTCCTATCTTTGCTTTTCTTTGAGTTCAGTTTCTTTGGGAGCCATGCGCTGATCTTTTACCTGCACCTGCATGTTGTTTTTCTTCATTTCATAGACGACCCTAAATTAGGTAGCGGTAGCAGTACACTTGAGAACAGTGGTTAAGTACTATGTCAGCCGCCGTTGCCGCCGCTGCGGCCGCCGCATGCGTCTGTGACAAATCCAACAGCAGTTCGGTGTCAGTGTTTTCGCCACCATCGCCACAACCAACGCTCCCTTTAAGCCGTTACGAGTCTCAGAAGCGGCGTGACTGGAACACGTTTGGGCAGTACCTGAGGAACCATCGTCCCCCCTTGGCTCTCTCCCGCTGCAGCGGAGCCCACGTCCTGGAATTCCTCAAGTACCTCGATCAGTTCGGGAAAACCAAAGTCCACACTCAAAATTGTCCCTTCTTTGGTCACCCTCACCCTCCAGCGCCCTGCCCTTGCCCTCTCAGGCAAGCCTGGGGCAGCTTGGATGCTCTCATCGGCCGCCTCCGTGCAGCCTTCGAAGAGAACGGAGGCCAACCGGAGCTGAACCCTTTTGGAGCTCGTGCTGTGAGGCTGTACCTGAGGGAAGTGCGGGACGCTCAGGCAAAGGCTAGAGGCATAGCTTATGAGAAAAAGAAGAGAAAGAAACCGCAGCAGCAGATACAGTCAACAGCTACTGATATGTATGAGATTGGCAACCATTTTCAACAAGGAGTCTCAGGGCAATCCTCTGAGGCAAAGGGGACTATGGCTGTAGGAAACAGTTTGGGTGGTGGCCGCTCCATGATTGCACTGTCCGTGTTGAACTAGATCTTTGGATGATGATCACTGCTTCGGGTGTAAAAATGGAGGACTCATATCTAGTCTAGGGTTAATCAATGATGAAGATGTTGCTACTTAATTTACTACTGTAATGCATGTATTTTGAGACTTTTTTCCTTAATCGAGTGTAATGGGTTTTATGTTTTCAGATCAAATCCTGTTCATACATAAACTTAGATGCTTTGCCTGTTAGTTCCCCTTGAAATTTCTACACGAAAGCTAATAATTTCTTGTGAGGTTGGGATTTGCATTACAAATCTTGTGGTGTATATGATTGCATGCCTAATTAATTTCATTGCATATTATTGCCTTTTGACGCTTGAAAGAGACTATGACCATTCATTGACCACCCAATTTTAGGTTACATTAAGTTGATGATATCATGGTAGTCTTAATCAGTATAAAATACGTAGCAAAAGACACTTCATGACATGACGTAGTTATCAAATTAACTCGAAAATTCCTATATGTATTTGTATATATTTAGGGTATGAATACATTGTTAAATTCAATAGTTTTTGTCTACATTTAGAGTATGAATACGTTAAATTTAAATGTACGAATATGTTGGTACGAATTCGTATTATTAAAAATTTAACACCTTTTAGGTACGAATAAGTTATTAAATTCAATAATCGACTTGCTAAAGAATTAATTAATTGTATAGAAAGTTGAAGAAGGGTGTAATGGTTAAAAATTGGATCCTTAAGTTTTATTTTTTACATGTTAAGTGCAACAATAAGGTGATAAGTCCATTTTAATATTAATTAAGACAACAAAGTTACATTATTCATGGCCTTTGTCTTCATTAAAAAAAAAATGACATTTCTTTTAATTATCCAATATGTGTAAAAGGAGAAAATTTTTTATCGAAAATGCCACATGTACGAAATTTGTAAATTAAAGAAAATTTTCAATGTGTCGTGAACTTGAGAACATAATTAAAAATATTTATATAATTAATTTATTGATTAAATTATTTTAGAGATACGTAATTGAACTAATTAAAATTCGTGTAATTTGAATCAATTAAAATTCACTAATTGATCATCTAATTTATATCTAAATAAATTAAGATAATTTAAAAATAATATATAAATTTGGTCAATTAAAATTTACCCGTTGGTCATTTATCTCTAAAAATTAAGATAATTTAAAAATAAAATCATATTTTGATCATTCAAGTATCTCTAAATAAAATAAGATAATTTAGAAATAAAATTTAAATTCAACAAATCAAAACTCAAAAATTTCAAAATTTGACCAATCAAAAGGTCGTTTATGAATTTTCATGATTTATCTCTAATTAACTTAAAATAATTTAGAGATGAAGTAATTGAACTTTATATATATGCATTAAAAAGACAATCCCTTTACATATTCCTATAAATAATCTTTATTTTCCGAAATGTTGGAGAGAATATGGTTTGGGTGGATGTCTTGAAACTAATATTGTGCAAACTTAAACTTAAACATCAGCTTAATTAGAATTGATTCTAGGTTTGAATGGTCCAAGTTACCCTAAGTATCTTATATCATATAATATTTAATATTAAAATTAACAATATTTATTAATATTGGTAGTAAATCTTAAAAGGAATAAGAGTAACTAACAAATAACTTCTACAGGAATATGAGTAACTAACAAATAACTTCTACAATATCATGTCATATTGAAGTAGTAACATTCCAATTACATAATTTCTATGTAGCAATCATATAACAAACCACCATATATATGAATTCATGAATCCTAGAAAAAGCTTTATATACGCATCAAGATCAAACTACTATATTTTGTTTACAATAAGATAGAGCTCGCATTAAAATGTAAAATAGAAAAAATATTAAACTATATAAGTGCATACATATTTATATGTACCGATCTATCAAATGAAGGAAAGGATGGAAAGAAAGTAGGTTTTGGTTCTACCCCTTTCCTTCCTTCATCTTTTCCTCTTGCCAAAGACAGCATAAGTAAGATTGGTGGGGGTTCCAGGTTATTTGGGGAGCTTTCAAAACAGAGAAAACTCTCTCTTTCCTTTCCCCTTCCTTTCATGGTAAATTTATTTACTGAGGGAAATCCTCTTCCAGGATTGCTGCAAGAGAAAAGGTCAACTTATGAAGATGGGATATATATCTTGTCTTCCAAGTGATGTCACATATATTTCCAGACATAATTTTACATCCACAAATGCAGAATATGCTTTGTAAGACAGACTTCATTCTGACAATTCCTCTCTTTAGATTAAAAGTTGTGGTGGAGAAAGGATCCTGCTTTATTTGGAGACATTTTTTTTCCTCCAATTAATCACCATTTGTCATCATTACTTATTAGTGCTAACATGTTTACCATTACTTTCCAGGCTTCCTTCTTAACTTTTTTATTTCCTACTTTTTTTAGATTTCATTTGATTGTTATTACTACTATTTTTATGAACATATTCAAAGATAGTAATATGTATTACATGTATTCATATATAATCATTTTGTATAAAATTTTTTTTAAATTTTTACTATTTTAAAAAAGTAAAAATTTTATGTATTTATATTTAACTTAACGGTAAGTGTATGTATCTCTCTTATTCAATGAACCAAATATGAATCTCCTTTTCACCAAAAGTGTACTTGATAAGAAAAAAATTCAATTGTTAAATTTTGATTTTTTATTAAATATTCACCCTTTTTTTTTAGTTCATTCCAAATCTATGTTCACTTTCTTTGTTTAACAATGTACAACTCTTTATTTTTCTAATGTTGTATATATAATTTTTAATTTTTTCCCAAACGAATAAATATATATTTTTGGATGTCAATACTCAAGTCATCCGTACATATGTATCAGGCAGTCTCAAGTAGAAATCAGAGTAAAGATGCATATATTTTATGTTAAATTAACCTACATACAAACACAGGCAACACCTATGTCACTTAACAAACATCATATATGCATGTCATGCATACATATGTGAAAATTTGATGTCAATACTCATGTCCATGACCATAACACATGTTACTTAGGAGAGTCTATCTCCTCTTATTCTAGAAAATGACCCCCACCCTGTTTTGTTTCTAAATGTGTTCCTTTAGGTAAGCAGCATTTTATGCCTGGGCCTGGGGAACATTTTCCTCCAAACAGATTTTACATGGTAACAATGCAACTCTCAAAAGTTCAATCAGAGGGCGACCTACCAAACTTTGTACCTGGGGTCTGATTTTCAGCCATGAGTCCCCATTAGCAGGAGAAAACGTTCTGCACTCCAACTTCTTATGCCACATTAATGCTCCAAAGAATATAAAATTTGACAGATAATGCAAGCATCACATATTTACTCACTTTAAACATTTCTTTCTTTCAAGTCTGCATACACACACCCTTCTCTCTCATTTGCTTGTAATTACCTAGAACATAGCTAGAAAGTGTTAGACAACAGGCCTATTAATCTATTATTCCAATCAGTAAAGTATGAAAGAATAGAAAGCTATTGTAATTTTAAAATGATATTGGGATAAGGTGCAAGAAACAGGGAGTCTGGTCATCGCTTTAGGCAACAAAGTTAGGTGGTGTTTGGATTCCTTTATATTAACACCATATAATATAAACAAAAAGTAAGCAAGATGAAATATGACACAAGAATGTAGCAAAATTCTACAAGTTTTAGAGAGAAAATGGAGGAATATGCCATGAAGGACAAAAGAGTGACGATACATGTAAGAGTCAAGTTCTTGACAGATCAAAAAGCAGGTTAAAAAATATGAAAAAGGTAAGGGTGGTAAGAGGTTAAAAAATTAAATATGACATAGCTTTGAAACATCCTAAAAGAGAAAAATATAAATTCATTTAAGGTTGGAAGTAGTAACTTTTTGTTTTTTGATGGCATGGTCATGTAGAAATAAAAATCCCTCTGAAGGACATGTATACTTTATTTTATTAAATTTAATTTTTATACTTTTATTAAAAATCGATTTAAGGACAACTGATAACAGTATTAAGCGTATGCCAGTAATCTTGGCAATATTAGTTATGACATGCAATGGCTTGTTGATTGTTTTTACTTTTGCTGACTTTTAAAGAGCATAAAATTACATTTGATCAGTGTTCATTTCCTCATAGGTGAGAAATTTAGTGATTATTTATCATAAAACGAGCTTAGAAATATTTAATAAGTATGAGAACAGGCATGCAATTATAAAAACTAATATAATAGCAAACCAATTATAAACAAATCAAGTGCCTAGCCTATGATTTGTATGTAACTTTTAGGATGTTTATCAATATTCAGTACATTATTTGCTCTTTAATTTTTAAAATCTTCCCACGGTATTTATAGGGAAACTAAAAAATATATCCATTTATGTTTTTCCAACTTTATTTTAGTATATTTTTAAAGTATTTTTGCCTTTATTTATTTATTTTACTAAGATATTATATCAATATAGCCTACAATTATTTTCACTACAATCCCAACCATGAGTTTTCCAGAGATAAACTTGGGATTTATGTGGAACTCAAGTGGACCACATACTCATGAATGATTGAGATTTTATAATTCTATACAATTAATTATAGACGAAATGGACTCATCTCCAGTCTAGTTAACAAGATTAGATGCATGGGATCATTGGCTGAGTTACAAATTTAAAAACGTAGGATGTCTTACCTAGACTTTAACCTTTTCACCAGCCTTGCTGCAAAGGTATCTGTGCCTGAAACAGCAAATATGGGAGCTATGCCTGTGGGGAGAGCAAAGGGGAGAAGTGGGGATATGATCCGATATGGTTTCAGTAACTCCTAAGCTTTGACAGAAAGCACGAAAGCAGCACATTTTGTATATTAGACAGTTTGCAGATTGTTCTTTGTCACCTCTGCTTTGCAATGTTGATTCCCCTAGAAAGACAAAATTCTGAGAGATTAAAGAAAATTTGGAATTTAAGTGAAAAAAAAAAAATCAATTCATGAAAACTAAATGATGTTGATCTAATGGATCGATTGCAAACAAGCATTTAAGTACCACAAGATTACAATGATATCTCAAAATATATATAACACTTCAGTTTTTAAGAAAATTATAAAAAACTGATTAATATTTCCCCAAGCTTACAGAAGTCACTTGTCTTTGTCGAGAAAGTAAGATTATAAAAACTGATGATCTATTTCCCTCTCTGTTTCATCATATTTACCCAGTTTTGGCACTGCCTCACCCCTTTTCAAAAAGATCTATACACTAGGCAATTAACAAAATCATACAAGATTATAGCAAGTCCAAGGAGACAATGTTGACAAGTAACTTTGTAGTGATTAAGCCTAGAAGACATATGCCACGAAGTATGCAGGCAATTCTTACATATCGAATGCTTTAGAAAGGGAGAATTAGAGTTCTTTGGAGTGAAATCGAACCTTGGGTTTTATTATTATTATTTAGAGTCCTTTGGAGTTCTTTGGGGAAATAGAGTTCTTTGAAGTATACAATGAAGTTCTGAGAATATTTGAACAATCAGCAACAGAGTGTGCTGAAAAATGAGATGGCACATGCATCAAATGTGAGATTAACAATCAGATGGTATTGAAGGAAACAAAGGTCCTCTGAGCTATGCTATGTAGGGGACCCTGTCCTGCCTATTGCTTTTTTAGTATATACAAGCCTTCATTTATAAATGGGAATTAGAAGTCTATCAGCAATTTCCTGTAAGAAGGGGTTATATGGGAATTAATGAGATTTGACTCCTGGGCATGGTCAATGTTCATTGAGGAGAACTCAGCTCTCCTGAAAGACTTTTTCAGGATGCTCCCTCTTTACCTATGGGCTCGAACACATGTGAAGCATTTCTGGAAGTTACCTCCTTATATGCAATCAGCTTAAACACTTATTTCATACTTGTGTTTAAATAGATAAATAAATCACTTCAAGCAGGCATGACATTGCAGCAAGCTTAACCTGTAACTTTATAAATACCTCTTCCGTGTACAAATTCAGGAACATTTGACTCTCACTACTTTTGCCTACTCTCAGTATTTTATTTTTGTAGACTACAAGTCTTGTTGTTTCCTGATCCTCCAAATCATTACTTTATGTCAATAACGTTCTAATCTTTGCCTTCATACCAAGATGATTTAATCTTACCTCACATTTTTCTTGTCAAAACAGATTGTCCTCCTACTTTCTCACATGCTTACCTGTTATCACACACATCATCTTTGAGCTCTCTAATTCAAGACGTATCCATCAACAGAAAAATCAAAGGTATACGAGCACATATCAAAAACTTACATTGCTGATTTGCCAACACAGCCCATGGTTCACAAGCTAACATTTTTATCTACGATCCAGTTGGCGGCGCAAAGGGGGATATGATAGTCATGACACCATATGCTGTGGATGCATTGGAAGATAAAGCTGAGGAACATATCCTTCTCTTTTCAGCTCTAGAAGAAGAGTCTTCAGCAATGAATAAATATGTGAAGACCGTGGGTGACTTTCATCTGCAGCAACAAACATGTGGGTGGTGTTGTTGACCTCTATCCAACTGTATCCAGGTACTTTCTGAACTCCTCTTTCCTTCATTAAACTTCTTATCTTCAGTACACTCCCCCAATGTCCAGCATCAGCAAGTAAATTGGAAAGCAGTACATAGTAACCAGAATTTTGTGGGTCCAGATCAAAAAGGTGTCTTGAAGCCACTTCAGCAAGCTCAACATTGCCATGATTTCGAGAGGCTCCTAGCAATGTACCCCACACACCAGCATCAGGAGAGAATGGCATGCTCTTTATAGTTTTAAAGGCTTCATTCAAACGACCAGCGCGTCCAAATAAATCCACCACACATCCATAATGTTCCATCCTAGCTGGGATTCCATATTCCTTAGTCATGCTCTGGAAGTAGTGAATTCCATCATCAACTTTACCAGCATGACCACAAGCGGATATTATAGCTAAAAAAGTGACATGATCAGGCTGAATTTCATTTTTCAACATCTCATGAAACAGGGCAAGACAATCTTCAAGGCGGCCATGGTTTCCATAAGCAGCAATAATACTATTCCATGAAATTTCATTCTTCTCTTCCATCATGTCAAACACAAGCTGAGAAGAACCCAAATTTCCACATTTTGCATACATATCTATGAGTGCACTCTTAGCAAATAGATCGGAGCAGAATGAACCTTTAATCATAAACCCATGGATCTCTTTCCCATAATGTAGTGCAGGTAGATTAGCACAAGCAGAAAGAGCTGCTGATATACTCACACAGTCATAGTTCATTCCAGTCCTCCCCATCCAACAAAAAAGATCAATCGCCTTCTCTGGTTTTCCATTCTGGGAATAGCTTGTGATCATTGAGTTCCAGCAAACAGAATCTCTTTCAGACAATCTTCCAAAAATATCATGAGTGACATCCAGCCTTCCGCATTTCGCATACATGTCTATGACAGCACTTCCCACATGACAGCCATGATCAAGCCCGTTCTTGATGATATAACCATGCAATTCCTTCCCCACTTTTAATGCAGCTAAATCTGCACAAGCAGGTAGAACACTTGCCAATGTTACAGCATTCGGCATGATTTTTTCTTTAAGTAACCACCTGAAAATCTCGAAGGCATCATTGTTCATCCCATTAAGCACGAATCCTGATATCATAGCTGTGCACATGACAACATCAACCTTGGTGCTTTGGTTATAAACCTTGCGTGCCATCTCCACATCCCTGCACTTAAAGTATACATCAATAAGTGCACTCTTCAAGAACACATCCAATGACACTCCATGTCTTAATATATATCCATGAATTTCCTTGCCTTTTCTGAAACATCCCAACCCAGCAACAGCCGGAAGAAAACTTGAGAAGGTGATTGCATCTGGTTTCACGCCAGAAGATACCATCTCATTAAACAAACATGAAGCATCTTGCATAAACCCATTCTGTACATACCCTGAAATCATTCCATTCCAAGACACCAAATTGTCCCGGGGCATCATTCCAAACAATTTACGAGCATCAGACAACCACCCACATTTTGAATACATAGACAAAAGTGCGTTTGCCACCACAGAATCAAATTCCAAGCCACAACTAACAACAAGGCCGTGAAGCTGAGTACCAAAATCCACCATTCCTTCCGAAGCACACAGAGAGAAAATAGCAGCAAATGTCACTTCATCTGACTTTGTTTCATCTTTCCTCATTTCCTCAAAAATCTCCATAGCTTTATCTAATTCCCCGCACTTAACATAACCATTAAGCATCACATTCCACAAAACACAATCTCTGGCTGGTATTTTATCAAACAATGTACGAGCGCGATCAACATAACCGTTCTCTACATACAAGTGTATCAAAGAACTACCCACAAACACATTCACTTCAAAACCCATCGACAAAATCGCCTCATGAATCAAGGCACCAAATCGTACATTATTTAAACCACTACAAGCCTTCACGACAGAAGGGAAAGTAAAATTATCAGGAGAAACCCCACAACCCAGCATCTTAAAATAAAACAACAAGCCAAAACGAAACCAACCCATCCTAACCAACCCTCTGATCATCAAATTCCAACGCTTTACACACCCCAAATCAATCCGATAGAACATGTTCTTGGCATCATTGAAGCTACCGCAACGAAGATACATAGCCAGAAGAAGGTGATCGGTGGTAGTAATTTCATTGAGGATGAGCTGGGCGTGAACTTGTCTGCCTTGTTGAAGATTTGAAGGAAAAGAAGAAGATTGCAAGAATGAGGCAAGTTGGGTTGTAGGAAATTCGGAAGGTCTCGGAATGTGTTGGGAGGTGGTGGTATGAACATATCTGAATGGCGCAATGAGCTTCCAGATTGAACGTGGATTTCTCCGGTACATCCCTCGAGTCCGTCAAATAGTAAGCATGTTGCTTCAGAGACTACGCCATGGACTTCAAATTTGCATGGTGGAATTTGACATTACTGTCTGGAATGGCTCACCCAGGCCACCCGAGTGGAGGGAATTATGGAGTTCGGATTTTTTTTGTTCTTTATCCCTTTTCCCGCCATACTAGTAAATTTTTAGACATAAACCCTAAACAAGTGCTTACCTTTTATTAATTTCAAATAGAACTTTTAAATTTTGATTTAGGTTTAAATAGATCCTTAATTTAAGAAAAATTTAAACATCCTTAGATTTAAAATTATGGAATTTATTCTTGAATCCAAATGGCTCCATATAAACTTTTGGCACGGGTCAGGTCATATATAGATTAAAAAAGTATTGTGTATAATTTGATTTTAATTCTAATTCAATTGTAAATATTTGTGTATAATTTGATTTTAATTCTATTACAATTGTACGAGTTAGAGTATTTATTGAAGTTAAACTTTAATATCTTAAAATATAAAACTCAAAATCATTACCCGTTTCATGCATAAAAAAATATACTTAATACGCTTTCTATTCTTAGAAAATCAAATCCCATAAATTAATTCGTGAAAAGTGTAAAAAATTTTCAAAATTGCACTTAATGTTGATGTCTAGTAGTTTGTGCAATCGTTAGAAAAAATTTAGACATAATGTTCAAATAAGTCACTAAATTATTAAAAAAGATTCAAATAAATTTTTATTTTTTTATTATATTCAATCAAGTCTAATATTTTTATTTTAGATCAAATAAACATTTATGATTAATGATTTATTAATTCTCGTTAGTTAAAATTTCATTTGTTATTTTATATTTACATAGCATTGACATGTTAATTTGGCATGATAACATGTCATGTCATAATCAATTCTAATATATCACCATAACCCATCATTATCAATTATCATATATTAAGATATTACATCAACATTATATGATATAAAATGATAAATGATATTTTGATTAAATTAATTATTTGACTCCAAATAAAATTATAAGAGTTTATTGAATGTAATAAAAATATAAAAGTTTATTTGATTTTTTTAAATAGTTTATAAACTTTTTTAGATATTATGTCAATTCTTAATTTTCAAGAAAAAAAATGATCACAACAAACAAGGTTAAGAGATAATATATAAATTAAGTCACATATAAGAAAAAAAAATGTTTGATAGTTTGAATATTTAAGATTAGTGTATTGTATTCATATCTTAATTATAAGTTTTTAGATGGAGTTTTTTTTTATCTTACATAGTATAGAACAAAAAATATTACTCTATTCCAAATCACGTGAGCATTCATTACTAAGGATACTCCAGTATCGATATTTACTCATTGGAGGGGTTTTTATTAGTTTTAATAGAAGCAGAAAAGAAAATATATATATATATATATATTCTTTGCTATATTCGTGTATTACTTATCCTTACCAAATATAAGATGAAGTAGAACGATTTTAGAAATGATATAATGAAATTCTTTGATTGGTTCTTCCCAAAGAGAGAAATGATCCGTTTTATTTAACTTTGACTAATGGGGTCAACAAAAACAAACAATATAAACAATAAACAATTACAATTCAATTTTAATATTATTTAATATTAAAATTGAATAGAATTTAATAATTTAAATGGTAAGGTAATTTAA